CGGAGGCCCTCGGGGGTTCCTCGGGGACGGGGGCAGCTTTGGGGACAGGCGCTGTGGCAGCTGCGACTTCTCGTTTTTCCCGGCTCGGTTCCTCTCTCCCTGCCCGTGGCAATGACTAAGAGGCAGCTTCCCCTGCGTGCCCGGTGCCCGCCGTGCCAATCCCGGGGTGCAAACCCTGCTTTTGTTCCCTTTTCCAGGGTGTTTTTGGCACGTGGATGCGGCCCCGGGACTCCGTGCTCTCAGTGTCCGGCACTTTGTCTCAGCTCCTGGCCGGAGTGGGGTCGGTGTCGCGGGGCTGGTGGCATCGGGGAATGGTCCTGTTGGAGATGGGGACAGCAGGACCCGCGGGGATGCTCTGGTGGTGGCCGTGGCCTCGCTCGAGGTCCGGTGGCCGCGTGGGCTCGTCCCAAATCCCCGCCGCCCGCTCCGGGGTAAATATAGCCCGGCTGGCAGGTGGCAGGGCACGGTGACTCAGTGGCCCCGCCACCTCCGGGAACAGCCGTGGGCACGGTGGCACCGCCACCAGCACGGGGACCTCCCCACGGCTCTGCCCTCGCGGGAGGCGCAAGGGGCCACTGATTCAWGCCCCTCATTAAGCGCTCATTAAGAAAATGAAGCCGCCGGCTCGCTGCGGGCGTCGCGTTCTGGGTTCGGGGACGAGGGACGCGCGGGACGAGTGGCAGCGGTGACAGGCCGGGAGCAGGTGGGGGGGACACGGCAGGACGAGCCCCGGGAGCCGCGGGGAGGGCTGCGGGGGTGGCGGGGCCCGGCCGGAGCGCGGCTCGTGGCTCGCATCCCTGGCCACCGGCCAGCCGCTCTTCCCGGGAGGCCCCGGGGCCGCCTGGTTCCTCCCTGGAACTGCCGACAGCACCGCCAGCCAAAGCTGGTTCTGCTCGCCCCAGTTTCGCTGCGGGTCGCCCCGGTGCCCGTGGGGCGCGGGTGGCAGTGCCCGTGTGCGTCCCCGGCTTGGGGACACCGAGCGGGGCTGGGGCAGGGACGAGGGGCGCCTGTGCCCCCCGCTCTGGTCCCGCTCCCTCGCCGGCCGGGTTTGCGCAGGATGGAAAGTCTGAACCTGCCGGTCCGGCCGCGGCCGCGCCCGTAATGACGGGTTTGGAGCGGAAACGCGGATGGGGCTTCACCTGGGAGCTGCTCCCCGACCGAGCCCCCGGGGACCGCGGCACCACCCCCGGGACAGGACACCGGGGACAGCGGGGGACGCAGGGCCGGGGCCGCTCTGCTTTGGCTGAGATTTAACGAACTGCGTTTATTTGGGATTTAATTAACCGCAGCTCTTGGGGGAGGGGAGGCCCCAGCCGTTCCCTCGTGCCTCAGTTTCCCCAGTGCCATCACGGCGCGTCCCGGCGCTGCCCCAGCCCTGCCCTGGGTGCCATCCGTGTCCCCTGAAGCCAGGGCCGCGCTGTGCCCCGTGCCACGCTGTCCCCACCCCCCGTGCCGTGCCCCACGCCGTCCCCACCGGCTGAGGACGGACCCACCGGAGCCGGAGAACCGGGGGCGCGGGGTCAGCGCGGCACCGGCACAGAATCCCCCGAGTCCCCCCGCGGCCCCGGCAGCGGCACCGCTGATTTATGGCGCTCGTTAGCGCGGCCCCGGCAGCATCTGGCCGCAATTAGGGCCGGCTCGGCGTCACCCGCCCCGCTGTCCCCGGGGTCCCGCGTGTGCCGGGGCCGTGGGCCGGCGGCGCGGGGGCCGCATCCTGCCCGGTGAGGGGGGGTTATCGGCGGCCACCGGCGCTGCCTCCCCCCGCCGGTGACGTCAAGCGCTGACGCCGATCCGCCCCCTCAGCCGCCCGCGGGCTTGGCCGGCCGTGACGTCTGCCACCGCCACCGCCACCGCCACCGCCGTTAACTCCTTCCCCGGTGCCGCCGGGCGGACCCACCGGGCTGACCCACCGGGCAGACCCACCGGGCTGACCCACCGGGCTGACCCACCGGGCTGGGTCCGGCCGCACTGACCGTCCAGTGTGACCCCCACCCGCGCTGAACCGTGGTTGGCCGGAGCGAGGGGCCGTTCCGTTCCTTGGGCAAACCCCGGTGCCACCGGGACGCTCCGGTGACAAACACCGGGGTGGTGACAGAGGACAGGCTGTGACAAGGGCGGTGTGGGGACGTGCAGGGACAGGCCACACGAACCCTGCTGTGCCCGGGCACTGTCCGGCCGCGCTGCCGGTGGCCTGTCCCGGTGTGACCCGCATGGGTGGTGGCCTGGCTGTCCTCAGAGGTTCCCGTTAGGCCCCGTGGCCGTGACTGGCCCGGTGTGTTTATTTCTTTACTTCGTTCTTTCTCGTACCCTTTTACAGCCGGGCTCCGGCTCGGTGCCAGTGTTGGTGCCCGGTGCCCGTGCCAGGGCCGGTTCTGGTGCCGGTACCTGG